ACAATGCTGCATTGAAATCTCAGACATTCGTATCAGCCCTGCCCAGGTCACCTCCCCAATGGTATAGTGGTTAGGAAAGAGGGGAAGGGGGAGGGGGGCGTTCTGTAGGGTGTCATAAGGTGACAATGCTGCTTCTTCATACAGTACAGTGAGTAAGCGTTGTCACCCTAGCACAGGAAGTATGTTACTGGCAGAATCACCAAGTACAAATAAATAAAGGGGTTAAAGTCTGGAAGAAAAAAAAGCAAAAGCAGACTTCAGATCAAAAGACTGGTAATCTGCAATATATCTTTTTTTTTTGTTCTGGAGTTTAGATAACCTTAAGCCAACACATGCAAAAATGAAAAATAAACCAATTAACCCCAAAACATTGAAACAGAAAAATAAATTGATGCTAAACAGAGCTGTTAAAACATTTCCTTGATCCCTATGAACACAATTAGTTGTCCAACTAAAATGCTACAGGATGGAATGAACAACAATCGCAGAGCCAAGGTCACCTGGCTGAGCGGCAACGTCTGCCAAATGAAATCCGTACTTCACACCCCCCTGTGGCACCACCCGGCGTAACAAGAACTAGTTGGCGACACGCGGACAAGCAGAACCTCATGCTGGCTACAAAGCATTTCGCAGGCCAGGTGTCCGGCTACAAAAATCGGGCACCTGGCAACTATACGGCGCCTGCGTGAGTGACCGCCATCGTGCCAATCTCGGGTGCTAAGTTTTGTAAGACGAGATCTTCTCCGAGTCAGTTATATGGAGTGAGAGAATTTCCGCAACTTGGTTTTTGGATACACAACCAGCCAACAGATGGGTGCCATACAGCAATGCCTTGATAAAAACATGAGCAGGTAGGCTACGCTTCCTACACACATCTCAAGTCTTCATGCTCAGCCATGACTGCAGTGCATATAAACTAGGGATGCGCCGATACTAGTATCGGTGCCGATGCCGAGTATTTGGGCGAGTACTCGTACTAGCCCAAATGATCCGATGCCTAGTCCAATATTTCCTATATTAGGAAGCCGGGCAGCGAGTCATTACACGCTGCCCGGCATCCTGATTGGCCGGGAAGCCGGCTCCATGCTCCCTTGTCACTTTGTTTGCATTCGTTTTTCATGAAAAGGTCCCCCTGGGGGTCTCAGAGTGATGAGGAGAGAAAAATAGAATCACATTGCTTATTCACACTACATTTACTCTGATCTGCACACTGCCGGGATCCTGAGCCAGTGCAAATCAGACTGCCGGCTCCGATGGGAACAAGGCTACTGATTAAACCTTCAGTGTGTACTACAGAATTCTATTGAGCGTCTCGGTATGCTTTTTTTTATGGACATATTATTCTACCAACCAGCTGGAGCAGAGATGCAGCAAACGCGGCTTAAAGCAGACCACCAGCTAAATGTTAAAATTAGACCTTTTAATACAATTAGGGCTGCAACCAACTCATCGATAATGAAAATAGTTGTCAACTATTCTCATTATCGATGAGTTGGTTGGAGCTCTCTCCTCCGCGCTGGGAGATTTTGTTTCATCGGCTCTGTGTCACCTTCGATCGGAGGGCACAGTAAGCAGTGGGCGGATGCAATAGCCAGTCTGCTACTGGCTATTGCAGTTTGCAATAGTCAATAGTAAGCTGGCCATTGCACCAGCCCACTACCTGCTGTATTTCCATTCAGCTGCCGTCTGCGGAATCTTGCCACCGTCAGCTGTCATTCCTCGGCTGAAGCTATTCAATCGCCATGTGCTTACAATACAATTATTAATTTCAATATCACCCCCGAATGCGCCCCCCACCGACAGTGTGATCACCCACACTGGAATGTGCGGTACCGCAATGCCGTACGTTCCAGTGCAGTGCGATTGCAAAAAATTGTGCACGCAGTTTTATTCTGAAGTAAACTTTTTGTTTGTTACACTGTATTTGTGTATTTTATTTTAAATTAAGGATGGTATTTATTCAATTTTTTTATCCGATTAATCGAAAAAATAATCAGCCAACTAATCGATTATGAAAATAATCATTAGTTGCAGCCATAAATACAGTTGCATATTGTTATAACATTACATTTTTATATACAGCTCATTTAAGTATGATTTTTGCATAATCCTTACAATATTTAAAGAGAGAGAAAGAAGGAAATCCGTTTGAGAAATCATTTACTGCTTTGCACTGTGCTATTTGTCTACATCGGGGTAGGCAACCTCGAAACCTCAGCTGTAGTGGAACTACAAATCCCATGAGGCATTGCAAGACTGACAGCCACAGGCATGATGGGATTTGAAGTTTCAGAACAGATGGAGTGCCAAGGCTGCCCACCTCTGTCTACACGCTTAGTGCAAGGGACAGCACAGAGGTGCTACTACTTTGCTGCCTAAGCAGGAGGCTGCCATTGTTACAGGTAAATTTGTCCATTATACCAGGCCAGGATCCAGTGATCACTGTGAAACGTCACCAGCATACCACAGATTCTTATAACAAATTTCAGTAACATGATTGTGAGTCAAAGTCGCCGTTTGCATACTTTAGATTTCTTCCAGCTGGCCTCTGTCCTGCCGGCTTCCCTGGTGAGGAAGTATTCATAACTCGGACCCAATCATGAATGCTCCTTCTCCGTCCGTGACGCATAAAGCCGAAATCGTTGTAATTTACTGTTCGGTTCAATCAAAGCCCCCAAAAAATACGACTGAATTGCCCTTCCCTGTACAGGGTCATGGCTGAGTCTAGAAGAGCTCAGTAAAAATGTCAGCCTTACCATAAAGCATGGAAATGCCTGATACTAAAGCATGAAAGAAAACACAGAAGGGAATATAAATACTACGCTGACAGTTATGGAGAAAGACGTTTATTATGAAAATAAGATAAGTGTTTCCAGGTGGTAATGTCGCTTTTACAGCCTAAATTCACCTTTATGAAATTTCCTACCATTAACATAGTTGCTATCTAATACCCATTTTTCCAGTTAAAGTCCATTGCCGGGAAAAACATAAAATGTACCCTTGCAACGGGGCTACCCCCCACTACCTGCACTGAAAGGGGTCAGGCGCTCATTTATGCCGAGTGGACAGGAGTCAAGCACTTTTATTTCTTACCTGATCCCTGCTCCCACAGCGGTCAGCTCCCTCCTTTTCTCACCCTCCGATCCGGCTGGTGGACTGCCATTAGGTATGATGACATCAGTGGTCCTTAGGTCGTCTGAGTGAGGGGGGATGGGCTGCCGAGATCTCTCTACCAGCCCTGAGGGAGCCCTCAGGAGCTGGGATCAGGGAAATAAAATAACTTTATCCTGTCCCCTAGACATAATGGAGCATTTTTGGGGTTAGCCCCATTGCATGGGTAGTTTTTTGGTTTGCCCAGAAATGGGCTTTAAGCTAAATTGCTCTCTCCCCCCCCCCTCACCC